CCCCATCATCCTGCTTTTACATAGCGCTCATAAACACGGCATCCATGCACCTGAAGAGCAACACGGTTGGGATTTGGGATGAGGTGCCTGCCTCATCCATAACCTGCTCGGGATTTGCAAACCAACCCTTCCTGCCTGAGGCTCCTAAGCCTGGGGAGCAACAGGTATTAATGGCTGCACACGTGTCGTGGTTTAACCCGGCTGGCAGCTAAGCACCACGCAGCCGCTCGCTCACTCCCCCCACTCCCTCTGTGGGATGGGGGAGAGAATAGGAGAAAAGAAAAAAAAAACAAGGGATGCACAATGCAATTGCTCACCACCTGCTGACCGATGCCCAGCCCGTCCCGAGCAGCGATCACTCCCCCCGAGCCGCGATCACACAGCCCGAGCTGCGACCACTCTGCCCGCGACCGATCGACCGAACTAACTAACCCCCCCCGAGCATGACGTTACATGGTATGGAATAGCTCTTTGGACAGTTTGGGTTAGCTGTCCTAGCTGTGCTGTACTTCCCAGCTTGTTGTGCATCTGGCTGAGCAGGAGAAGCTCAAAAAGTCCTTGAGTAGTCTGAGCACTACTTGGCAACAACTAGAAACATCAGCGTGTTATCAACATTCTTCTGGTACTAAATCCAAAACACAGCACTATGCTAGCTACTGTGAAGAAAATTAACTCTATCCCAGCCGAAACCAGGACAACACGCCAAACCTCCTCTTGTCGCCCCAAACTCAGCACACGACACCCACAGCGACTTCCCCTGGGGGGACACTGAAAGGACCTCGTTGCATATATGCAATGATTGCAGTTCTGTAAAAATGCTGGGCTATGCCAGATGCTTTTAGTCCCTGGCAGGTTCTCCTGGCAAGTGATTCAAACGCCATCTCCGCACAAGGTGCTGGAGCAGTCACTAGCTGCCTGAACAGCAAGGTCGCTTACAGCACTGTCAAAATTCCTTACAAGCCTATCCTCTGTTTTTCACCTTTGTTTCCAGTTAAATAAAGGGAAGGCACAAAAAATCCTGTTATAAAAGAGCAAACAAAACTCCTCATGTTTGAAGGACTTCTGCTACTCCAGGCTGGTTTATAGCACAGGTGCTCTCCTATAGAAATCAAACCCCTCCTAAGAATAAAGTAAGGCAATACTATTGGCAAGTTACAAAATACAACCACCTCGTATTTCAGTGAGTCCTTTCCCTCCCTCTCCTTTGCTCTTGCTATCTCTTATCCTCTCACCCATTTTTCAACAGAAGGACTAACAAGGAATAATTTGAGAATGATACATGATCGGTTTTATTTGCCAAGTCTTTTTATACTCGAATAGTCAATCTGTTGCTTCCAGTAATAGCAGGGCAGGCAATATGCATTCTCCCACCCTCCACAAAAGAAAACAGAGAAGGAATTAGCCACTGATTTAGATACATCGTGGTGTGCACTACGTGTGAGATGGCTGCCTCGCGGCCAGATGCTGCAAAACTACTTAGCATCACTCCAGACCCCAGCCTGTACTGTAACGACGACATATCAGGAAAGCCTGCAGCAAGTTAAAGAGACAAGAACTCTGCTCAATGGTAGATACGACATTTTTTCACTCTACATGCTGGTTGTGAAAATATGCCGGGTGCCAGCCCGCAGTGACGGTACCCAATGGACGGACAGTTACCGAAGCACCTGGGCTGGGCTCAGACTTGGCTTTCCCTGAAGTCAGCGGTACTGCTCTTGTTTAAACCAAGACTTGAGTTCGAATTTCAGCTGATAAATTCATTGTCCCTTGAAACTGAAGTTTACGATGACTGGGCGGGCTCTGGAGCAGGACGCATTTGCTTCACTGGGTCTAGGCTTACCCAACTCCTCCTGTAACTGCCTGTGTGATACGTTAGATGCTATGGCACAAAGATATCTTCCCATGCTCAGCCCTGTTCTAGCGGGGAGTTTGGGGAGCAACACTCAGAGATAAAAGAAGAGGCCCAGCCTGTGCCCTTCATGCCTGTTCGATAAGCCGCTGCCTTGTGTGCTGCACAACTGACCCAGCCTGGGCTTGCCGACGGTGATCGGTCCCGCTGCAGGGAAGCTGCACGGGCATCACTTGCCAACCTGGGAGGGTACGGTAAGCAAATGACCTGCATGTTAGGAAGCCAAATATTGGCTACATGAAGGATGGGGTACGATACAGCAGGGGTAAGACTTTAAGAAGGACAACAAATAATACTGAAAGCATTTTTCTGCGTACAGACCCGAAAATTAAGTCCAGAGGACACTGTTGGCTCAGAAAGCCAAGAGACCTGCACAGCCTAGCAGCACACAGAGCCCAAAAATATGAATGAACTAATGCAATCTGGATCCTATTTGGTTGTTCAGCCCCGTTGACTCATCTTCCCTGTGCTCTCCTCAGGCTAACGACAAGGAAACAAACACGGGCAGAACAACATTGAACTTGGCATCATTTTGGCAAGGTTGCCATACCTGGGATTTTGTCACTAGGTACTACTTGCACTTCTTGTGTTGCCTGTGCACCACATAAGAATTAACGGTTTAAAAAGGAAATAGTCTGTTTTTCTCTTGAGTCACCAATAATTTCTACTTGAATCCTGGCACAGCTGAAAATTTTACCCAAATAAATTTTTGAGAAACTTGCTGTCTGATGGAGCTTAAGGCAAGCAGCTGGTCAGGGTGGCTCCCATAGGCTCTCCCCTTAAATTTGGTGCACCCTCCTTGAGCTGTGACCCGAGACGCTCTGCGTGGAGCAGAGCAGCAGGCTCGGGGTGGAAGCCAAGGGGCAGCCCCTGGGGATGCTACCTGCTGAGCCAGCTACTCCCACCCAGGAGCGGTGATGTGAAGCAGCAGCTGCACACCCTCCAAATCCTCTGGGTTAAAGAAGAAAAGATGTTTATGATCCTGAGACACGGGCAGCAGTGGTGCCAAGCATGCAGAGTAAGAGTCACCGATGTCCATCCAGCTTTTGGAAGCTGCCCTCCTCTCTCGGGAGCTCCTGCCCTTGTGTGCCCAGCCTGGCATCCCAGACAGCATTTCGCTTGCAAAGGAATAGGGCAACACGCAATTATCAAATACAAAGATTAAGATAGGGTAAACGTTTTAAGCACAGTTTTATGACTGACAACACCGTAATCACTCTTGGGTGTGATTCTTTTTGGGTGATGGGCATTTCTTACTCTGGTTTGAACACTTGTGTGCCTGTAAGCTTGTCTGCTTCTTCCACCCGCACTGACTGCCTCTCCTTACAACCTCCTGGGACCCCACCGGCAGAAAGCAGTGCCTCCCCAAACTCCTGAAAGAGCTTCGCATCCTTCCTCACCCGTTCCTGCAGCCTTCACAGCGGCCGGAGATTTGCCTAGAGGGGGAAGGGGTATCCCTCAGCAGAGGGGGACCGATGCTGCCCACCCGCATCGGGTGGCACTGCCACGCCGGTTTCCTTGCTGATGCTGATGCCAAAGTCAATCCCCCGATGCCACGGCTGCTCCGCTGGAAAAGCCGGGCGCTTCCCCGGCCCTCGGGAGGATGCAGGCGGCGGTGACGGCTCCAGGCGTGGGCTGCCAGGGGTCGCATCGAGGGGCGCGGCGGGGGA